GAGAGAGAAAGGGGGAGGGAGGGAGGGAGGAGAGAGGGAAGGAAGGAAGGAAGGAAGGAAGGAAGGAAGGAAGGAAGGGAGGGAGGGAGGGAGGGCATGGAATTCTAAAATTAAAAAAATTATCTATGAGCTCAGGGCAGCAGAAAATTTAGCTTTCATTGTTATGTAACCGGTCTGAACCCTGCCCTTGATCTGAAGCTGCCACTGTCAGAATATAACACGCAACATTTATTGGATGCTTCCTTGGTGTCTGCCACCTGGCTGTGTACCTTCATTTCTCCTCTCGCTTAGATGGGACTGATTCAGACATGGCCACAGCCAAGCAGTAGGAAGAGGCCAGGAAGAAGGGCAGGAAGGAAAGTGGGAAGGAGGAGAGGAGGGAAAGAGAAAGAGAGAAAGGGGAGGGTAGGTGGGGAAGTAAAGGTAGAAGAGATGGTTCAAGATGCTGGGTCCCAGGAAAGGCAGGGCAACTAGTTAAGAACTGGGGGGACAATGACCAGAGCTGCTCTGGGGACACAGGAGTTAAGCAATTGTGATGGAGGAAGAGGCCCAGCTGTATAGCTGCTGGGGCTACTTCCTGGTGTCCTCCTCTGCTGGCCTCTTTCCAGTTCTCTCCCATCAGCATGAGCATGTGGGTCCCCTGGGCTTGGCATCCTCCCCTCCTGAGGTACCAGCAGGCTCTTGAGCAAGTTCTCAGGGTACTGTACTCACCAGGGGGGGCAGGAAGAAAATATTATAGCTAATGTGTGATTAAGGAAAAAAGTTCACCTCACCGATATGCAATGGAGTAGCTGTCAGAGGAACATGTACAGAATTATAAAAAAGACATGTACCTATGAAGGCGCGTGCTCCAGATGTTTTGGCAATCGGAGGATCATCAAGACCCCCTGGAGACCAGGCATCGAGGTTTTGGAGTGAACTTGAGTTGTGGTTACTCACTCAGCTTAGTCCCCTGGAGCATGTGGCCCTGAGCAGAATCCTCAGTCCCTCCTAGGCTGTGAAAGGGGGACAACTGTGCCTGCCCACCCCCTGCCACCCCTCCCATAGGCCAGAGTTGGCCCTTGGCTGGGTGAGCTGCCAGCTCTCTTTCCTTACCTTGCCACTGAAGGTGTTTTTCTCTGCCCGAATCACGTTGCCCACCATGTCGCAGAAGTCCACTCCATTGGGAAGCTTGTTGGGCCCAGAGTCGTTAAATTTGGGAGGCTGGTATAGCTCAACCAGAAGATTCTTTTCTGCTGTTTTCTGAAGCAAAAGAATGGAATGTGAAAATGGGGACCACTGTTTTGACAGTTTAAAATAATAGAATATCTTCCTCTTTTTATTATGAAGACAGTATAGACACAGAAAATGAGAGGGTGTTCAAGACCCAGTACCCTTTACCAAACCCCTTACCTATTCATATGATTTCTATTCTCCTTTAAAGCTTTGAGCAAATGTATCCAAATACATATATGTACCTTTAATCATCACACACACACTTTTACATCCTGCTTTATCTACTTTACTTTAGTTTTTTTTAAATCTAGTTGCATTGTCCCCAAAATTATCAGTTAAAATGCTATAATTTAGGGCTGGGGCTATAGCTCCTTGGTGGAGTGCTCGCCTCACATGTGGAAGGCACTGGGTTCAATCCTCAGCACCACATAAAAATAAAATAAAGGTATTGTGTTCATCTACAACTAAAAAAAAAAATTTTAATGCTATAATTTAACCAGGCACAGTGGTTCATGCCTGTGATCCCAGCAATTCAGGAGGTTGAATCAGGAGTGTCACAAGTTCAAGGCTAGCTTCAGTAATTTAGTGAGACCCTGTCTCAAAAAAAATTAAAAGAGATGGGGATGTGGCTCATCAGTAAAGCAGTAAAGTAAACCAGTAAAGGTTCAATTCACACACACAAAAACACAACAACAACAAATAAAACACTACAATTTAATTTACTCACCAACTACTTCTAATAAACACTGCTGTCATTAATATCTTGGAGCATGTGGTTCTATTCCCCCTTGGGTCACTTATTTTGCATAAATTCCTTAAAATGGTAATATTAAATCAAAGGCTGTGACCATCTTTATAGTATTTAATATATACCATTCAATCGATTTTTTTAAATATTTTTTTTTTAGTTGTTGATGGACCTTTATTGTATTTATTTATACGTGGTGCTTAGAATTGAATCCAGTGTCTCACACATGCTAGGCAGGTGCTGTACTACCACTAACATTTTTGAACAAAATGAAAACGTAATGATTATAAAAATGTAAAAACATAGAAAAGTAGAAAGAGGGAGTTGATTCTCCTCACCCAAAGGCACCCACTGGAAACGTTCTGTAAGACTGAACTACATATTTTTCCCCCTTTTTGGTACTGGGGATTGAACCCAGGGACACTTTTCCACTGAGTCACATCCCCAGACCTTTTTTTGATTTTTTATTTTGAGACAGGGTCTCAGTCTCACTAAGTTGGTTAGGGCCTCACTAATTTTCTGTAGCTGGCCTCAAACTTGTGATCCTCCTGCCTATCCTCAGCCTGCCGAGCTGCTGGGATCACAGGCCTGTGCCACTGTGCCCAGTAATGGAACTACTTTCTAACTGAGCTGTGGTACTGGCAGTGGGAGAGCAGCTTGGTGATCTGCTGCATCAACCCTGAGTCAGATGACAGCTCTGCCATTTACTAGCTGGGCCACCTTGGGCAGGACACTTATACCTGCTCAGCCACCACCAATGGTGAGTAGCACAATTTCAATGCAGCCTCAACCATGAGTCTTCTTGCTGTTTTGGAATTTTCTGGTCTAAAATATATAAAAATAGTGGACTGAGGCTGTGGCTCAGTGGTACAGCACTTGCCTAGCATGTGTGAGGCACTGGGTTCAATTCTAAGTACCACCTATAAATTAAAATAATAATAATAAAGGTCCATTGACAACTAAGAAAATAGCATAGTGTTTCACACTGTCCATCATTTAAAGCTTATTTTTTTTTTAGTTGTTGATGGATCTTTATTTTATTCATATGCAGAGCTGAGAATCAAAAGCAGTGCCTCACACATGCACGGCAAGTGTTCTACCACTGAGCCATAACCCCAGCCCAAGCATTTATTTATTTATATGTATATTTAAATGTGATTACTTTAATACAAAACAGCAAAAAACATAGAATAGCCAAAGATTATAAGAAAAAAATTACATGTGCATACAAATAGATCAACAAAGACTTTACATTAAGCTTTAACATTCACAATAAAGGTAAATTTCACTTGCTTAGATTAAACCTAAATAGTGGTATAAAAAGAGCATCTGCCTGACTCTTCTTCTACCACAGCAACACTTGAGAGAATTCCAAAATGATCTTTTTTCTTCATGTTTAAACTATGCATCATACCAATTTTCTGTGTAAATGCAATTAAATTTAATTAAGTCAAATGCAAGATACACACCTATGGTTAGACTTAGGTAACATTCTGGTTCCCACATACAGAGCATCTTCAAGGGTATTAGTGTGATCAGAGGAAGGAAATTGTGATATGAGATGAAATAGCAAAAATAAAAGCAATGGACAGATCACAGTGATCACATAACACAGCTAAGTATTTAAATACAATTTATATGTGGAAAAAAGTAATTTCAAGTTAGGGGTTCTTTTTAAATTGATCTTTTAAAAACAAATGACAGCAGAATGCATTACAATTCTTATTACACATATACAGCACAATTTTTCATATCTCTGGTTGTATATAAAGTATGTTCATACTAATTTGTGTCTTCATACATGTACTTTGGATAATGATGTCCATCACATTCCACCATCCTTGCTGACCCCCTGCCTCCTCCCTGCCCCTCCCACCCCTCTGCCCTATTTAGAGTTTGTCTATTCCTCCTGCGCTCCCTCTCCATACCCCACTATAAATCAGCCTCCTTATATCAGAGAAAACGTTTGGCATTTGCTTTTTAGAGATTGGCTAACTTCACTTAGCATTATCTTCTCTAGCGCCATCCATTTACCTGCAAATGCTATGATTTTATTCTCTTTTATTCCAGCCCAAGCACTTAAAGCTTTGAATGCTTATCTCTTGGGTAGTTTAAAGAACAAGCAGAGAAAAATCTTTTTTTTTTTTTTTTTTGTGGTGCTGGGGATGGAACCTCTAGTCCGCAGGGAGATTCTTAAGTGGGTAGCTGTGAGACGGAGCCAGATTGCTGCTGAGGGCCAGTAGAGGGGGCCTGAATGCAGGTCAGAGGACTAAGCGGGAAACAGAGCCCTTCCATGGATGAGCTGCAGGACCCTGGACACATCACCTAACTTTAATCCTGAATCCCATTTCCAGGGGCATCAGCAATGATCTCCATAACTAGCCTGTCCTGAGAGTCGGAGCAGCCCCTCAGGAACCTGCTGTGTGGACAGTCCAGGAAGGCCCTGTGGCACCTCAGCAAGACCCAAAGGCCTTGTTTCTAAGGAGAAATACATTCTCAGTTCTAAAAATAGCACACACGGCTCTGCAATGCCCCTCCTCGGGGGTTGGGTCATCTCTGCCCTTTTGAGGGTGTCATGAGAAATTCCAAAGTTGTCAAAATTTTAAGATCTTCTTTGAAAAAGAGAACTTTTTTTTTTCCATTCAATCTCCACCCAGTCACCAAATTCCCCTCTCCCGGAGTAAAACCTATTTCTTGCCTAAGAGAAACCAATCCAAAACAGACACAGCAATCAGTCCCTTACCTTTTTCACAAAGGAAGACTTGGCACTCTTGAATTCGGAGCCTTGGCATATATACGGTGTTCTTTGCTGTTTCTTGACTGCAGAGTGGAGGAAAAGAGATGAGAAATGAGCAGCCACAGGTGGTGTGCACTACTGGGTGATCAACCTAACTGGGACTCGTCACTCAACCTGCGCTGCCCAATGACGCTCATCCTGCTGATCTCACTAGGTCCCATGGGTCTGAACGACCAAGATCCCCCTCCCTATCAGATTAGACCAAAGAGGGGACAACTATGTGGCCTTAGGCAAGTAGCTCCTCTCTCCCTAGCCCTGTTTCCTCTTCCACAAAATGTTTTTAAAAGGACCCAGAGGGAAAGCACCTAGAGTCCTGTGTCACATAGTTAGCTGGTCCCTAAATGGTACCCTCTTCCCTCTGTCCTTGCCCAACATGAGGAAGTCAGATTTGAGTCTCCTCACCTGCAACTCTGAATTCCTACCCAATTATGTTTCCAAAACCGAAAACTCAGGGGTGGGGCTGGGGCAGGGTGGTGCAGTGCTTGCTTCTAGCAAGGCCTTGGGTTCAGTCCCCAGCATGCAGAAAAGCAAACCAAAGCTTAAAATATCCAACTAAAAAAAATCAAATCCACGACAACCCCATCAAGGCTATGAGAAGGGATTTTTGCCTCTGTCTCCTGCGCTGACGTGACTGTGGCTTTTCTCTCTTAAAGCCTTCTTCTCCAATTCAAATTTCTCAATTGCCTTTAAAAAAAAACAGAAAGAAAAAAAATGGGGCATTAGGGATTAATGCAAATCCTGGGGACCAAGGCTTCTTCCTTGTTGGTACCCAAAAGGCCTGGAGAAGTTTGTAGCCAACACTTCCTGTCTTCCCCCAGGTGGCACCATCTGTGCCCCTCAGTGTCACTGAATCCTCCCCAAGTGTCATCAATCTGTCTTCCACACCACAGTCCTCTCACACTGCCCCTCTGAGGACAGGATTTGGAACAGGGTTCCAATCACAGCCTCACAGGTTATAAGCTCCAGTTGAATCTCTCTGTAAAAGGGGATAACAATACCCACCTTCAGGTCCTTACAAGGATCAGAGATAAAGTATCTTATGCACTTTAAAACACTCTCACAAAGGCTAGCAGATAGGGCTGCTCACTAAGGGGAAACTACTATTGTTATTAATCATGATACCCTTGACCCCACAAGAGTCTTCTCTTGATCACTCTGACTCTCCACTCCTGCCCCTTAGGAAAGGAAAGAAAGAAAAATGAACGTCAGTGACCCACAAGTTGCACTGATCATCAACCAAAAGCCCAGCACTCGTTAGGACAGCAGTCATCCCGTGCCACGTGCTTGCCGTCTACCAGGTGGAACAGAGGCTGGGGAAGCCATCTGGCAGCAGGAGCTGAGTCAGCCACTGCCTAGTGCATAAAGGGCATGGCAAACCATGACCCAAAAAGGTGGCCAGGGTGGCCAGGAATGGTTCTGATTCAGCAGCAGTTGTGAGCTGCCTGGGCAGAGCGGCAAGGAGGAGAGGCAAGGGGTCCCTTCCTTCCGCCAGGTCACGTGGGCACTCAAAGTTGCTCCTGCAGTCCCACTACCCCGCCTGTAGGTTCTGCCTGCAGTCAAGAACACCCAGGAGCTATGTCCATGCTCCCTAGTTCCCCATCAGAGCCTGCTTCTGGGAAGGTAACTTCATTCTTCTTCCTGGTTTCAAAAATTATTATTAAAAAAAATCATATAAGTGACATATGCTTATTGTTTTAAAATATCCTAACATTACAGAAGAATCTAATGTAATAGTAAAAGAGTTCATATCCTTTGGATTCCCTCCTCTTTCCAGAGCTAACCCTGTGTAACCATTTGGTGTAGATTCCTCCAGATTTATTTCCTACGCATTTATACACATAAAACACTTCTGCTGAGAGCCAGGTGAACTTCTGTGTCCTGAGCTAAGTACTGTAGCACCCTATAAGGTAGATACATTATTGCCATGTTTTACAGGAAATTGAGACCCATGGTGGTTAAATCATTTCCCCAATGTCACGATTTGAGGGAACAGTAAAGCAGAAATTTAAACTTTGACAATTCTCCTCAAAAGCATACACTTTCTCCCACAGATGACTTTTCACCTTACAGGGAATCATTCCAAACAGTGTGTGTGTGTGTGTATGTGTGCACTTTGCTTTGCTTTTACCCACAATTTAATTTGAAGCTCTACTCAAGAGTGGGGTAGAGAGACTAATGCTATTGGTCTCTCTCCTGTCAATGGCTTCAGTATGAAAAACAATTTGACTTTTATAAATTTATTTATAAGGCTCTATTCTGTAGAAATACTTGCAAATGATCACTAAGGTATGTGCACAAAAATATTCAAATGTGTATCATCAAAGTGCCACTGAAACATTTAGCATTAAGGATGAATTAAATAAATTATGCCATTTTCAACCTACAGAATATTACACAGCCATTGAAAGATAGGGCAGGTCAGTAGTACTGACTTATAAAATCTCTAAGTATTTATGCTAAAAATAAATGAGAAAAGGAATAAGAGAAAACAAATACAGGTTACAAAGTAACAGTCATGGCTTTGTCAAAAATAGAAAACAATAACCCCAAATTATGTAATACCTATGAAAATAATAACCTAAAGAAGATCTGAAAGGGCCAGGTGGGGTGGTGCCCGCCTGTAATTCCAGCATCTCAGGAGCTGAGGTGGAAGGATCACAAGTTCAAGGCCAGCCTGGGCAGCGTAGTGAGACTCTGCCTCAAAATTAAAAAAAAAAAAAAAAAAAATTAAAAGGACTAGAAGATGTAGCTCAGGGGAAAAGTGCCCCTGGGTTCAATCTCCAGGATGAAAAATAAAAGTTCTGAAAGGATACATGCCACTGGGATTAGCAATCCTTAGGGTGAGTGAGGGAAATGGGGGCTGTGACTTGCCCTGTGACTTTAATTCTTGTATACTTGTAGATGGTTTGAAAATTTTAGAAATAGTATGCATCATATTGCTATTTAAATTGTTAAAAGTGTGACAAAAAGATTGACTCAAGAATTTAACTGACCCCCCAAATCAGTACTGGACAAGTTGGGTGAGGGGGAAACTAAAAATGGTGAAGGCCAATCGTGAGGCCAGGATACCGGGGCAGAGAACTTGGTGGGAAGCAAGATTCCGGGTGGGAGGGGTGAGAAAGTTAAGGTGGAGAACTGGCAGGAAGTGAAGGAGTAGAGTTAAGACGGGCCACAGCAACGGAGGGGGGTGATAGAGAAGAGGAAGAAGAAGGCCAGGGGGAGGAGGAGGGGGAGAAGGAAGAAGGCCAGGGGGGGGAGGAGGAGGGGGAGGAGGAGGAGGAAGGCCAGGGACAGCACCGGGGCGCCAGTGAGGACCAGGACACACAGAGCTTCTCCTCTTGAACTACAGAAGGGCACTACCAACAGATGGCCTGGGCTTTCAAGTGGAGTCCCTCACTGAGCCCGGAGACACTGGAAAGCAGGCCAAATAGACCTGTGCGAAGAATAGGGAGCAGCGGGACACGGGCGACCAGAGAGGGCGCACTCTGCTCGGCCACCGCAGGACTGCCCTTGAGGCCGCTCGGCCCCCTGGTGCAGGACAATGAAAACAGGGAAGCCCAGAGCGGGCCCAGACTGCAGGTGAGTGACCTCCGTGTGGACGGGAATCCTGCAGTTAGAGCGAGGACTTGCCCGCAGCACCCGGCGCCCCCCAGAGTAAGTCTTCATGGTTCCACCCCCCTCCTCGTCGCCGCCAGGTGCCCATGAACAATCCGGGCAGCCGTGGAGCCCACTCTGAATGACACACCCCACTCCGCGGAGGGGCAGGTCCTCGGTACAACTCCGACAGGTGACACTGCTTTGTTACTCTCATTTTCAAATATTCTTCATGAGCCCCAGAGTTCTTAAGTTCAGTTGAAAATAAAAATCAAACACATACTGGTACCAAATCCAAAGACAGCCAAAAGGCAGGGGCAGGGGACTCAAGCCTGTGCTCTTCTTTTCACAGGGGCTCAGCCACACCTGGCTGCGCAGTGGACCTTCAAATGCCGGCCTCCCACAAGCTGTGTGTGAGAGAGAGAGAATGAGAGAGAGAGACAGACAGACAGACACACAGAGACAGGGAATTATTGGAGGGCTTGTTTTACTTTTTTTGATAAAAATAAATCAAAATTGACCCTTAGCCTTCCAGTTTATGGTCCAACACTTAAGGAGCTCAAACTACCACTATATCCTCATAAGTAAAAAGCTGAAAAGTAGACTTTTCTTAGACCTGTCAGAGAATCAAAGTCACAGGGCACCCTCCTCAGTTGGGGAGGGTACAAGCAGATGCAGATAATCATAACCCAGGAGCAGAAACTTCCACATGAACCAGTTGAAAAACCTAACCTACCACTGATGAATTGCTGAAGGTTCAGTGTACACAACTCTTGAGTTAAGAACTCCAGATGTCACAAAAATTAACTCCAAGTGAATCACAATCTTAAATGTAAAATGCAAATCTGTAAAACCCTTAAAGAATAACACAGGAGAAAACCTGACCTTGGTCCTGGTGATGACTTTTTAAATATGATACCAAAGGCACAATCCATGAAAGGAGGAAAGCTGAACTTCATTAAAATTAAAAATTTCTGCTCTGCCAAAGACACTGTTAAGACAATGAAGTGACAAGTCACAGACTGGAAGAAAATATTTGCAAAAGACATGTCTAATAAAGAACTGTTGATCAAAATACACAAAAAAGCTCTTAAAACTCAGTGGTTAAGAAAACAAATAACTCCATTAAAAATTGGACCTAAGACCTTAACAGATGCCTCATCAAAGAAGATAAACAGAAGGTTAACAAGCATATGAAAAGATGATCCACATCACATGTCATCAAAGAAATGCAAATTAAAACATACCAATTTGAATGGCCAAAATCCAGAACACTGACACCATCAAATGTTGGTGAGTAGACGGAGCAACAAGAACTCTCACTCATCAGTGGTGGGAGGACAAAATAGTACAATCACTTTGGAAGAGAGTTTGGTAGTTTCTAACAAAACTAAACATACTCTTACTACAAGATCCAGCTATTCTGCTCCTTGGTATTTACCAAAGAAGCTGAAAACTGATATCCACCTCCAAAAAACTCTACACAGGGCTGTTTTTAATAGCTTTATTCATAGTTGCCAAAGCCTTGAAGCAATTAAGATGCCCCAAGTAAGTGAGTGGATAAATAAACTATGGTATACTCAACCAATTGAATATTACTAAACACTAAAAAGAAGTAAGCTACCAAACCATGAAAAGACAAGAAGAGAAATTCAAATTCATGTTACTAAGTGAGGAAAGCCCATCTGAAAAAGCTATATATTGTATGATCCCAATTCTATGACATTCTAGAAAAAGTAAAACTACAAATCAATAAATGGGCTGAGGAACTGAACAGACATTTTACAGAAGAAGAAATGCAATCAATCAACCAACATGAAAAAATGTTCATTATCTCTAGCAATTAGAGAAAAGCACTGAGATTTCACCTCACTCCAGTTAGAATGGCAATTATCAAGATTATAAGTAATAATAAGTGTTGGTGAGGATGTGGGGGGAAAGGGTACACTCATACATTGCTAGTGGGATTAAAAACTGGTGCAATCACTATGGAAAGCAATATGGAGATTACTCAGAAAACTTGGAATGGGACCACCATTTGACCCAGTCATCCCACTCACCGGTTTATAGCTAAAGGATTTAAAGACAGCATACTACAGTGACACAGCCACATCAGCGTTTTTGGCAGCTTAATTCACAATAGCTAAACTATGGAACCAACCTAGATGTCTGTCAACAGATGAATGGATAAAGAAAATGTGGTACATATATACACAATGGAATATTACTCAGCCTTAAAGAAGAATCAAATTATGGCATTTGTAGGTAAATGGATGGAACTAGAGAATATCATGCTAAGTGAAATAAGCCAGTCCCAAAAAAACAAAGCCCAAATGTTTTCTCTGATAAGCAGATGCTGATCTATGGAGGGGAGGGTATAGGGAAGAATGAAGGAACCAATGGATTGTGTAGAGGGGAGTGAGGGGATGTTAGACCAGGACGCAAGAAAAGACCACTGACTCCAATTAAAATCAAATTAAAGCAAGCTTATTATTTCGACCGGCCGGGCTGCCTTGCCCATCAAAATCGTGGGAGCCAAGGACAGCCGCGAGGCTTCTTTGCGGCCCAGTTTTATAGCCCAAAAAGTTACACAAAGGGGGGTTACAGATAACAACACTCTGAGGAGCATAACACAAGTTTACATTTTTGCTGGCCCCGGCATTAGAATTTATGGAGATCTTAGAGACTCAGAGAGGGTCGTTATCCGGCCAGGGAAGGCCAGAATTTATGAGGCGTCACTAAGGTTTAGGAAAAGGTTGTTATCTGGTCAGGGAAAACCGGACATGGGTGAGTTCAGGGCACGGGCAGGCATTCCAAGCAGGTTCAGAATTTGCAGTAATTTATAGTAAAGCCGAAATTATCTTTTCATGGTTTTGTGGCAAGATGCCCAATTTTAAGAAAAGATCAGGTTGGATCTATCAGGGAGAAGAAGGGCTATGGAGACAGGAAGGATGGTAGAATGAGACAGGCATTATTACCCTATATACATGTATGATTACATTTCTGGAGTGACTCTGCACCATGTATAGCCAGAAGAATGAGAAGTGCTCCGTTGTGTCAATGTGTCAAAAATGCATTCTTCTGTCATATATAACTAATTAGAACAAATTAAAATTTTTTTAAAAAACTAAAAAAATTAAAATTAAAAAAAGAAAAAGTACAACTACAAAGACAGTAAAAAGATCAGTGGTAGCCAGAGATTAAGGGTAGGGAGACATGAACACATAGAGCCCAGAGGAGTTTTAGGCCAGTGAAACTATTCTACAGGTACAATGGGAGATGCAGGTCATATGTGTCCAAACCCACAGAATGTGCAACCCCAGAATGAACCCAGTGTCAACCAGGGATGCTGAGTGGTAACAGTGTGTCAATGCAGGTTCATGGATTGTAACAACTGAGGTGTGGAATCCTCAGGGAGGTTGTGTCCTGGGGATTGTGGTTATATGGAGAAACTACTTTCCATTCAAATTTTCTGTGAATGTCAAACTTTGTTTAGAAAGTCTATTATTATTATTATACCAGGGATTGAACCCAGGGGCACTTAACCACTGAGCCACACCCTCATACTTTTTAATTTTTTTATTTCGAGACATGGTCTCATTAGGTTATGTACAACCTCACTAAATTGCTGAGGCTAGCTTTGAACTCTTGATCCTCCTGCCTCAGCCTCCTGAGCTGCTGGGATTAAAGAAGTGTGCCACCCCATGTCTGGCTCTATTAAATTTAAAAATTTGTGCAAACAAACTTTCAAATATTCACATATTTTCAAAAATGTGGAGGAGCATGCAGGCATTGCAACATCTTGATGACCCCCTGCCCCCCGCCCCCCAAATCCTTGCCTCAGCTCTAGGACCTAAAACTCACCAGACTGTTGGTCATCGGGCTGTGCTCTAGGTCCATATTCCCAATCTTCTGATGCACCTGGAGCATGGAGCCAATTAGGCAGGCTGGGAGGTGAGGCAGCTAAGGAAAGTCTCCAGGCAGTGATCACCCACAAGAAGCGGGGGCTTGCCTAGCAAAGAGGGCGGCCCTGTCTCCAGTTATTTTCTCTGCAAATATGCACACTTTTCCTGGGGGATGGAACCTAGATTTTGCACATGCTAGGTAAGTATGAGGTACACCCCAAGCCCCATCACACCTCTTCATCTTAAGGGAATTGCTCTCTGAGTATAAATGAAAGCTGACCATATTGCAGATACCTTGGGAAATACAAAAAAGAGCAAGAACCATCTGTAATGCCACCAGGCTAACAATTCTGTTAGACTCAGGGGAGATTTCCTTCCATTATTTTTTACATACATAATTACAATCTCAGTGGATGCCTGTTTTACTGCTCTGACTTCTCCCGGCTATTATTAGGGGCATTTTCTGTACGGTAATCTTCATACTAATTGTGTTCAATAACATACTAATCCTTTTAAAGGATGCACCTTAATACATTTAAGCTATTGAATATTTAAGCTATTTACAACTTATTGCAGTTACAATGAAGCAGACCAGAGACCCTACATACCCAGAAGAACCTTACCTTAATTAAGCAGAAACCCCCATGATATTTGTAACATATAAATTCCTCTTCTTGTTGGAAAGCTTTATAATAGAACATTAGCAAAAATTTCTACCAAAAAAAATTCAGTGTGGGACAGGACTTCCTATTTCTTGTGAGGACTAAGTTATTCTGCTTGCAAAAACTAAGTTTGGCCACAGATTCAATGATATCACTTCTGCTTTTGTTGTAAAACCTCTGACTAATCTAAAAAGTGGGACAAAAAGCACTTTCTGTGAACTCAAGAAAAAAAATATAATACAGTCATGTAGACTCCTACAAAAATGTAAATCTTCGAGCCCCTCCTACCACTGGGTATAAAGTTCAAAGACTTTCCAAATCCTTGGTCCAGAGAATGTTTAAGGTGATAGCCTCTCTGGACTCTGCAGTCAATAAACCTGCTTCCTGAAAATTCCTTGGGGGCCCAGCCTCTTTTTTCCCACATCAGTAACTAATGCTGCGAGGCCACAGGGCCATGCAGAGAGCGGTTTCTATATCTTGGAATATTTTCAGGTGAGGGATGACTGGGTCAGAGTATCTTGACCTTGTTTATCACAGTTAAAATACGCTCAGTTTTACGGCCCCCTCCTTATGTTCTCAACTGTTACATTTCTTCCTGTCTGAGCCTCTGCTGGTGTAGGAGACAGCCTTTGGAAAAGTGCCACACTCCTCTCTCCCCTCTCATATAAAGCTCTCTTACCTCCTTTACCCTCAAGTGCTCTTACCAATCGGAGAACAATTGAAAAATGCAGATGCCAAGAAGGGAGAGGACAAACCATAAGTGAAATGGATTGCTCAGGTTGAGATGAGTGTGGGATTAAGAAGAAAGAAGGGGAATTCGAGGGCTGGGGATGTGGCTCAAGCGGTAGCGCGCTCGCCTGGCGTGCGTGCGGCCCGGGTTCGATCCTCAGCACCACATACAAACAAAGATGTTGTGTCCGCCAAATACTAAAAAAAATACATATTAAAATTCTCAATTCTCTCTCTCTCTCTAAAAAAAAAAAAGAAGGGGAATTCGAAAGAGGCCCAGCAAAGCAAGACCCCGGGGCAGATTCACATGGGCTCCCACCTTGCTGCTGCGTCTTGAGGAGCTTTGGAGAGGGCTGGAAGGGGAGGGGTGCGGGATGACACGCACAGCACTCGAAGGTGTGAGTGGGAAAGTCTGGGGGATTTATAATCTGAAGGGTCTAGCTGCTGGATGGGCTCTGTGGTCCTCCAGAAGAGGGGGTTCTGCGGTGCCTCAGTTCAGGAGTGAGATGAGGATCAAGGAAGACAGGACCAGGGAAGATGGGTGCTGGCAGACCCTGGAGGATGCCAGAGGGGTAGATGTGGAGCCAAGGCAGAAGGGCTGGTGGGTGAGGAGAGGTGAAGGCAATCTGAGGCAGAAAGCTGGGCCAAAGGTCACTTGTCTGAGGACAGAGGGTTGGCCTACTATTTCTTAGAAGACAGAGGGAAAGAAGACCCTGGGAAAAATTAGACTTTTCCCTCTTCTTCCTTATTCTTTCAACAAATACATCCAGGACTTCCTTCTGGGCTTTTTCTGATTAGTTTTTTAAACATTTCAAGTCAAGACAGGTGCAGTGGTGCACACCTGTAATCCTAGCTATTTGAGAGGCTAAGGTAGGAAGATTGAAAGTTCAAGGCCAGCCTCAGCAATTTAGCAAAACTATGTCTCAAAATGAAAAATAAAAAAGGCTGGGGAGATATCTAGAGCACCCCTGGGTTCAATCCCCACTACCACAAAAGAACAACAACAACAACAACCTCACAGGTCAAACAATCCTTCACAGTCTCACCTTCTTTTAGAGGCTAGGTAGGGCTTAAGAATTAATGAATTGCTGGGTGCGGTGCCCCACCCCTGTAATCCCAGCAGCTTGGGAGGCTGAGGCAGGAGGATTGCAAATTTAAAGCCACCCTCAGCATCTTAGTGAGGCCCTAAGCAATTTAGCGAGACCCTTTCTCTAAATAAAAACTAAAGGGGCTGGGGATGAGGCTCAGTGGTAAAGCACCCCTGGGTTCAATTCCCAGTACCCCGCCCCCCAAAAAAAGAAAAAGAATTAATGACCTAATGGATGTGACTAGAGTGGACTAGCGAGTGATGAATGCCAAGACTGTAACACTGTTCCTCAGTGGTGGCACTCAGGTGTATCTGGTCTGATTGCTGGTGATCCACCAGAGGATACAGGGGCGGTGCTCCTGAATGTCCTTCCTCCCAGCCCTCGCCCTTGCACTCTGTGCACTGAGTGAAACCACCAGCTTCTCATCCACTGGTATCATGGGTAAGGCAATGACATTGATGACCTCCATCTTCTTGGAACAATCCATTGTCCAATTTCTTGTAAATTGGCTATCAAAGAGTTTTCACGTTTAAAAGCTTGTCATTTCCCTCTCCAATCTTGCTGTTGGTTCAGTCATCCTCCTGGAAATCACAAATCACAAATAGCATAAAACCATTTCTAAGAAAACACAGGAGGAGGAGACGGACCCACTCACCTGCTCAGCAGGGCGGCTGGCCAGGCTCGCCACACAAGTGTACGGGGTGGGGGGCCGAGGAGGCTTGTCCGTGAAGCCCCTCTTCACTGAGGACCTCCAGGCACACCCAATTGTTCTTTCAACCTGCTGAGGCCCGTGCTTCTCTCCACTTAAAATAAAAAGCCTAGAACACTAAAAAGTTTAGCGCTCCAGATCACCAGGCAAGTTGGTTTCCAAACTAGAAATGAAATTGAATCTCTTTGCCTCTCTGAGACTCAACTGAAAAAGGAGGAGATTTGGATTAAGTGGCTCTAACACCCTTTCCAGATCTCAGATGCTGTGATTCTAGGATACTGGGTCCATTTCCTCAGCACCAGACTCTCCATCTACCTGGGGCTTTCTGCTCCCTCTCAGAAAACTAGTCTCCTCACTACTCTTCCAGGCTGCCTGCTCTCCTGAGTCCTTGTTTCTTGGCCAAGGGGCCATCACCACCATTTGTGGGCCCTCCATATCCAGAGCCTAGTATTACAGACCTGATTATAATGAAGCCCAAGACTTAGACCCTGTCCTCAAGCAGAACATACAGATGGAACTAGGGAGAAAAGGTCAAGTATGTTGGGAAAATAAACCTGGATGCCCTTCCACACTCTCCTTCCCTCTCTCCTGGTTCAGGCCATCTGCTTCTCCCCAGCTGTGATGCATCCCATACGCCCAGCCCACTGGCCACCTTTCTGGTCCCTGGCCATGCATGCTGCACCCTCTGTGCCTCTCTGCTTCTGCATATGCTGTTCCATACTGTACTCATCCCAGGTGACACATCTTTGTTATTCCAGGCCACTAGTACCATATCTCCTTTGAGACCCTCAGGTTTCTACATTCATCCTTTATGACAGCATTTAGAACGTTGGACGGGAATGATTTGCTTCTACATCTTTCTCCGTCAGGCCAATTATGCCTTAGGGATTCAGTTCATGCAGTGTTTGATTTCTTTTAGACTCATGCCCACACTTCTTTCTGGTGCAAAAAGGCTACCCGTCTTGGCTGCCCCAAGTCACTAGGACTGCTGGAAAGGCCAGCTCAGGCCCTGGACAATATAGTTGCTCCCTCCTGGTTCCAGCCTTTAGCCATACAGGCCAAGAGGAGAGGGTGAGAGGAGATACCCACATTGTAGGGTTTCTCAGTTGCCTCCCACCCATTCCCCAGCAGGACTGGAAAACGGCAACATCTTTTCAGAGAAGCCAGACTTAGGTGACACTGTCAAAAAGCCTTCTGCTTTGGGGCTGGGGATGTGGCCCAGTGGTATAGTGCTTGCCTAGCCTTTTTAAGGTTCTGGATTCTATCTCCAGACAATACACACACACATACACAATACATACATACGCAATACACACATACACAATACATACACAATACACACATACACAATACACACATACACAATACATACACAATACATATATACACAATACACACATACACACACACATACACAATACATACATACACAATACATACATACACAATACACACATATACAATACACACATATACAATACACACATACACAATACACACATACACAATACACACATACACAGGCCTCTTGCTTTAGCTTAACCTTATCACTCATGCCTAATGGGAGGATTGAAGAGCATGCTGCTTAGAGAAATGTTTAAGATACACACTCTCTTCCCAGCTTTTTTTGCTTCCTGCTACTTGGGGAGGAAAAGGAGGAACAAATCTAGATTCATTAAGTAGCTGTCCTAGGGCCAGCACTGTCAGGGACTCTATCCCCAGGCAGCAGTACATCCTGGCCACTGAGGCGTGAATATCCCACTTAAAGTTAACATGTTCTAGCATGTAAAAACAATGCTGACCTTGAACCTGTTCACTTTAACTTTTAGTCATTCAATTACTCAATTCTGCCAAAAGCCAGCAGAGTGCTCCTACTGGGGAAAGAATGGTGAAACTAAACCAGACTTGAACCCTATCCTAATGGGGGTTATATCTACTGGGGAAGACTTGTAAAAATCAAATGATTACATAATTAATTATAATTTATGAAAAATAATTATGAATTAAAATGAATTACTACTGTCACTATTGCTTAGAAGGGCACTGTACAGTGCTAGAGGACTTAAATAGTGTTTTGACCTAATCAAGGAAGTCAAGTTGTCAAAAGAAGAACTGGAGTTAATTAGATAACAGGGAGAGGAAATTGTCATCCAAACATAGGGCAGCAAGTTTGGAAAGGCTACTCATACAGTAGCCTCTAGTCACATGTGACAATTGAGCCCTTAATTTGGTTGGTGTGACTAAAAAGTTAAATTTTAATTTAATTGGGCTGGGGATGTGGCTCAAGTGGTAGCACGCTTGCCTGGCATGCGTGCGGCCTGGGTTCGATCCTCAGCACCACATACAAACAAAGATGTTGTGTCCGCCGAGAACTAAAAAATAAATAAATATTAAAAAAAATTTTCAAAAAAATTTTTTTAATTTAATTAATTAATTTTTTTGGTACCACTGAGTTACATCCCCAGCCTATTTATTTATTTATTTATTTTTGAGGCAGAGTCTCACAAAATT